CAGGAATGACAGCACCATTGGGTATAAGCGCTACAGAAAACTAACTGATAGCAACACTCTATTACAAGTGACAAGCTTCCATCCTCAGCAATTCAAGGATTCCCTCCCTATATCCCAATTCTTCCGTGTTTTGAGGTATAACAGTGAAACAAACAACAAAGAGATTAAACCACAGCAGATGTGGGATGGGTTTTTTGAAAGGGGCTATCATCCTCAGATGTTATTAATTGCCAAAGTAAAGGCAAATGAACGGTACCAAGAAAAAACACAATTGAAGAAATCTACCCTATCCAAAGAGAATAGAATGTTCTTACCTTTTACCTACCACACAGATACCCAGAAGATTTGTGGGTCTATCCATAAACATTGGGACATTCTACAGTCAGATAAAAATGTACCAGCTAAATTTTACAGCAAACCAATCATTAGCTACAGAAGGAACAAGAACCTTTGTGATGTATTGGTCAAAAGGGACCCGGGAGTCCCTCTGTGGTAATATGGAAATATGGTAAAATAAAAATATATATGGTAAAAAATAAACAATACAAGAATAAAAAAAATAAAAACAATGAAAAAACCAAAAGTAAATAGTTTTGGCTTGTATCCAACGCTTTTCGTCTTATAGACTTCTTCAGGGATATAAAATACAGTCCAAAAGTCCTTTCCTTTTATAAGCCTCAAAAGATCTTGAATTTGCCGCAGAAAAACTTCTACTTCCGGGTTTCGTCTTTGCCCGTCTCTGATTGGCCGAATGTGATGATGTTTTCGATCGTGTATGAGGAAGTGACTTACTTCCGTGTTCCATTCTGGAACGCATAATATCTCTACTAAATACAAGACCCAGTATCTCTGAGAACACTTCTGCGTTCCACCGTGGAACGCACGGCGATCCAGGCAACCAATGGGTTGCGGAGAAAACCGGGCATCCCAGAGTGGGACGAAGGAAGCCCACCTACAGTCCATGTACCAACAAAATACATAGACTATGAAAGATATAAAATCCATAGTGTTCAACATTATATAACCATAAACAATAATAAAATAAACATAAATCACATAATAAAAAATCAGACAATTATATGCTTATATATATATATGTGTACCACAATGCGCACATATTACCCACACGAAGGTGAACATATATGTGCACATTGCATGTATATACATGTGGATATTACAATAAGTGCATGTCACCCATATGGAGGTTAACATATATATAGCACAAAAAGATATAAATATAATAGTGGTACTAGAAAAATATACGTGTGTGTGTGTGTGTATGTGTGTGTGTATGTATGTATATATATATATATATATATAATCAGGATACATATGTAACATCCACATAAATGTGGATATCACAAATATTAGCCTGACATATAAAAAAATAGAAATGTGGATATCACAATTTGGCCTGACCTATAGAAAAAAGGTACATAAAAAAAGAGTTATCTAGAATTCCAAAAAATCTCAAAAGCCACTAAGACCATAAAACGGGGTATTGATTTTAATTAAAGGAGCCCCACCAAATCAATATCCTGATTAAGGCCTCTCTTCAAAGTATTTAATGTATAAATCCAAAAGGCTTCCTTTTTAGCTAAATCATTAATTTTACTTCCTCCCCTCCAGTTTTTTGTGACCTGGTCTATGCCAATAGCGATAAACGTAGACCAATTAAACATACTACAAGAATTACAATGATTAGGAACACTATGCTCCACCCTATGTGTCCTAATATTATTAAAGTGTTCGCGAAGTCTGGTATGTAAAGTTCTGGTAGTCCGTCCTATATATTGGACACCACATCCACATTGTAAAAGATAAATTACATATGTGGATGTGCAATGTAGAAAAAAAAATTTATGTTGTATGTCTGATTAGTGTTAGATCCTGTAAAATATATGGATCTTCTTTTTTGGTGAGTACATGTAGAGCATGCCCACATTTATGAAAACCTGGAGTTTTTTGGGATTGTAGAAAATTTCACTTTGGACTTTTTATCAATTTGGGTAAAAGACTGGGTGCCAATTGATTTTTTAGATTGTCTGCTTTTCTATATATGACTACAGGCTTTTCTGGTATCTTATCTTCTAAAATATCGTCTTTTTTCAAAATAGCCCAATGTTTTTTGAGGATTTGTTCTATTTTCTTTCTTTAACTGTACTTAGTGATGAAAGCAAAGTCCATATATCCATTAGTAGCTTTATTTTTACGTCTAATGCTTTTGTCCATTAGGAATTCTGTACGATCTCTACTGTTTATTTTTATAATGTCTTTTTCTATTTGATCTGCATTATAACCTTTTTCAACATATCTATTTTGTATTAATTTTGATTGTTCTTCAAACATCTGGACATTAGAACAGTTTCTTCTAATTCAGGTTATTTGGCCCCTCGGAACATTATTGAGCCATACTAGATGATGTAGACTAGTCTTTTTTATTGCTGTGTTACAATCAGTCTTTTTGAAAAAAGTTTTGGTATTAAGAGTCTTGTTTTCTATGTATAGAGTTAAGTCCAAAAAGTCTATAGTCGTCATACGGATGTTAGAGGTAAAATTTAAATCGTATTGGTTTAAATTTATGGTTTCAATAAATTTCTCCAAACCCTGAACGTCTTCTTCCCAAATAATAAGTACATCATCTATGTAACGTTGCCATAGGACGAGGTTCCCCCCTGGATATGGTCCCAGCTGGATACAGGAAGCTTCCCAATAGGACACATATAAATTCGCAAAACTGGGGGCGAACCTCGTCCCCATGGCGACGCCACATTGCTGTAACTAAAAAGTAGAATCAAACCAAAAAAAATCAATCTGTCTCAAACTCAGAATCTGTTGTTGGATTAATACGCCTCTGATAACCTCCAAACCCTTCTCATGTGGGATATTGGAGTACAGGGAGGTAACATCCACCGTAGCCATTACATAGGATGGTTTCCAAATGAATGATTGTAAAGTTTGAAGAATATGGGTAGTATCTTTAACAAAAGAAGGACACAAAGGTACATAGGGTTTTAGAAAAAAATCTACGTATTCGGAGAGATTGCAAGATAATGAATTGATCCCACTAATAATTGGTCGACCCGGAGGGGTCGTCAAACATATGTGGACCTTGGGAAGAAAATAAAAAATCGCTATTTTGCATGTCGGATTGAAGATGTACTGAAATTCTTTAGAGGAAATAGTAGCTTGATCAAGGCCTATCTGGAGTAAAAGTCTAAGGTCCTCCAGAAAGAGTTTGGTGGGGTCTTTTTCAAGTTTTTTATAACTAGACTCATCTTCTAAAATTCGATATGCCTCTTGCATATAATATTTTCTACTCATGATGACAGTTCCACCCCCTTTATCGGCCTCTTTTATGACCAAATTGTGGTTCTTTTTAAGTTTATTTAAAGCTTGTCTTTCTATATTGGTTAAATTATGTTTAGAGTCATTATGTTTCCATTCGATTTGGTCAAGATCGTTTTGAACCAAATCATTAAATACCTCTAAATATTTTCCTTTTTCATGAAATGGGTAAAAATTGGACTTTCCTCTCAAAGATGAAAAAACATTAGGACAGTCTTCCAAAGGTCATTCAGATATATCTATAGAATCTCTTTGCTCAAGCAGAGCAGTATCATTTGTTTCATACAAATTACGTTTTTCAAAGAACGGTTTTATTGTTAATTTTTTAAGAAATTTTTGATTATCAAGGAAGAGATCAAAAGGTTTTATTCCCGCAGTCGGGCAAATTTTAGGCCTTTTTTCAGTAAAGTTAATTCTTGTGTAGTTAAGTCTACACCTGATATATTGAAAATACCCGAGGAATCTTTTATTGTTGTCAATGTATGGTTACTGAGAGTAGTGGATCGTCTAATTCCTCTAGTTCTGTGTATGGTCTTTTCTTTTTCGGAGAGATTAATATTTGGAATCTGTTTTTTGTACTTAGAGTACTTTCTTTCTTTAGGTTTTGCCCCCTGTCTAAAAAGACTGAACATACCCCATTTGGAATACCTTGGGTTGTCTACTATTGCAAATGGCATGCTATCATGGGGGTAATTCCCATGCCTGGGCTACCATGCAGTCTCAAAGGCAATGTAACCAATCTGGCAAATTTCAATATGAAAAAACTGAAAAATGTAACATACTATATTTGACCGTGTAACATCCCAAAACACCATAAAACCTGTACATAGGGGGTACTGTTTTAGACGTGAGACATCGCTGAATACAAATATTGCAGTAAAAGCAAACAGTATTATGACATTCACTGTTAAAATGTCATGCAGAACTAGAAAAATAACAATTTCTTAATTTCTCCCATTGTTAAAAAATATTTTATTCATATTAAATTATGATTCATAGCTAAATGTTTGATGTTAAATGAAAGCCCAATTTCTCCTGAATAAAATTATATATAATAAGTGTGGGTGCACTTACTATAAAAGAGGTGAATTACGGTTGAACAGACATAAAGTCAAATTCCAAGTTTTGTTTATGTTTTATTTTGATCAAAACGTGTACATTTGGCTCAGTCCTTAAGTGGTTAAAGTTCCTTTTGGTCTTGGTTTGTGATCAAAGGGCATGTTGATGTCTTACCACCTTTGGGTAATGTGACACAAAAATCATTTTTTGTAAAAACCCTTTTCTAGGGCTGTACTTCGTAGAAATAATTTTCCATAGATCTTTTTCCATAATTTTCTATAGATACTTGTGACCATATCTGTCACTACATTATACAACCAAGAAACATATAATGAGGTATTTTGTTTGTTGTTTTTATCTACATGTGTGAATAATTTTGATATGAACTAAGAAAATATATATTATATATTTTATTTTTTGTTTCTTTTTATGTTTTTGTTGCCAATGCTCAACCATTTTAAAATCTAAAGGCAGTACAATAGCTAATCTAAAAATTGGTCAGATATAGATGGACAATAGTGATGTCGCGAACCGTTCGCGAACTTGCCGCGACCGGTTCGCCACAGTTCGCCACGAACCGTTTGCCACGAACTCCGGTCAGCTGACACATCCCTGCCAATCTCCGGCAGACCCTCCCTCCCAGACCCTCCTACTGCTGTCCAGGAGGTGGGAGGGTCTGGGAGGGAGGGTCTGCCGGAGATTGGCAGGGATGTGTCAGCTGACCGGAGTTCGCCATGAACGGTTCGTGTCGAACCGTGGCGAACCGTTCGCTGCAAGTTCGAGAACGGTCCGCGACATCACTAATGGACAACAGTCAACTAGACCAACCAGTATTGAAGTGCACTTTGATAAAGCTCCTATTTCATTGTATGGTTTTATATTATTTTTAAATACATGTATTTGATATAAACCTGGCTTCTTGCTCCCTGTCTACATTATTGATTAATTCTATTAAGATATCCCCTGCTCCATTATATCCTTGGTGTGGATTATACCATCTATGCTGATACACATGAGCTAAGTTATGCTCTGATAAGTTTAAGAAGTTAGTCTATTTTGTTCTTATTTGGTGCAAATATGATCTGCACTATTTGCACCACTGTTTATTTTGTATATATACAAAGAATATACCAAGATTGACCAGTGCAGTGCAAATAACTGTGCAAGTATACTTTTATTGTGTTTCCATCAAGTGTGAGTGTGATTTTTACATTTACCAAAGTTTTGTATTTATAGTATTGTATTGTCGTCTACGCTTTTTCTTTTTTTCATACTAAATGATCTGCTAGTAATTTCTTGCATGTATATACAACTGGCACAACTTTCTTTTCCACTGTATTCGATACATGATGCTAATTTGTATCTGATAAATAACTAAAATTAGATTGATGTTACATTGGAGTGATTATAAATGCAATTTACATGAAAGTCAATGTAGGCAACACGCATATTCAAAATGTAAATAAAACAGAACAGATGAGTTTTTCTGCAAAACAGTAATTATCTGGATAAATAGTTCAGATATAATGTGCATGAGATCTGTTTACTTGCCACTGCTTAAAAATATCAAAGAATCCTAATTTGGCTACTGTGAATGATTCTGGTGATTTAATTTGAGGTTCACTGTTTCATGAAATAGCCTAAACATTGAAAACATCTATGATTTTATGTGGCTTTTTAAATGTGTGTTATGGATAGTTAGAGTTGAAAATAAGATTGAAACTAGGATTAAGATTTGTGCCTACTATACATTAAAGGTGAACAAATTAGACCATATGTAACAATACACAAATAGAAAAGCCCAGAAATATGAAACATTTTATGGGGTGGGACTTCTTATGAAAAGGGAAAATTAGGTAGCACTCCGTTATCCTCAGTAGGTCAGCATATGAAACGAGAGTAAACACATAAAATTAGAATAAGCTCTGATAGTGTATCCATATATCCTTGAGTGGGGATCATTCCACTTTACGCATTTCATACCAGAGCTGGATTTTAGCTCTGGAAATTGTGAGTACATCATATTATTTTACATATATATTTATATATATATATTGGCATACTGCACTATTGGATCTCCTCTTCATTTTTCTCCACAAATGGCCTATTGAAAATACAAGTCTTCATTGGAAAATATAAACCACCATTGATCTACAAGAATCTGCTCTATTGGCTGTGGATTATTATTTTGGACTTTTAATATTTTAATAATTTTTTTACTTTTCTTTTAATTATATATTGTGTGTATTCTTTTTGATACCAACTGTATTAAAGGCGCGCCCTTTCTCTTTGTTTTTTATGTTTTAATTTATTGTAGGGGATAGGAGGGTACTTCCCTTTTTAGGTGTGCTGCCTTTACTCTACTCTGTATATCTTTACTTGTGATATTAATAGCGCTGATCCTATTTCGATTCTTTTTTAGTTTAAATTAATGTATAAATTTATAGAAAAATGAAAATGCACTTGCAAGTAAAGAGCTACTAACTAGCCCAAGACCAACAGCGTGTAGTGATATATTCTTCTCGTAAATGGCAAATGTATATACATGCAAAGCAGGCAATGCAGGTAGGTGTGATCTTGATCTGGAACATCTCACTATTGGCATCTCCTTTTTGTGTTTATATTCACATATCACTTGTGAGATATTCCATCGAACTTTGGTCAAGATCATACCTACCCATGTTGCCTGTTTTACATGTATGTATATCAGCCAGTAAGGAATATACAGTATCTAGTTAGTAAGTAACTGAGCACATTTCCACTTCCCTTTCAGTTTATCAAGTAAATTTGAAACTACCATAATGTTAATTCTGATTCCATATGCTGACCTACTGAGGAAACTGAATTTGATAAGAAGTCCCTCCCCATAAGGACCTACTCTGGTCCTTATAAATAATAAGGCAAAATGTATCATATTTCTGTAATTTTCCTTTTTTTAAATAATATAGGGGTTAACGTTAAAGTTTTAAAAAAGTTTTAAAAAGTAAAAAAAGTTTAAAAAATGTTTTAATAACGTTTAAAAAAGTAAAAAATCCCACCCCCCTTTACCCAGTCCAAATAAAAGTTAACTCCTTCCCTGCCAGTTGATCACTGCCTACAGTGATCAAAATACAGATCACACTATTATACTGCGATCTAATTTTTTTTAACCTCTGAGGATTAACTTTTTTTTTTTTTAACCCTCAAGGGTTCAATTTATTTCATTAATTTAAATATTTAAAAATTATATATTTTGCTAGCTGGGGTGGGTGGGAGTTATGGAAAATTGGGGAATTTACTGTTAGTGCTGCTTACTGCTAGTTAGGGGTTAATGGTAAAAAAAGTTTATAAACATTTTTCAAAGTGTAAAAAAGTTAAGAAAGTTTAATAAGTAAAAAAAAAAGTTTAAAGATGAGTTTTAAAAAGTAAAAAAATAAATTGCAAAATGCTCATTACCACTACACCTGTGATAAACAAGAAAAAAAATTATCCCACGCTAAGGTTCAAAATATGCCTCTTTAATTACCCCAGGGGATATTCTTTAATAAATAATATGTGTTTGTGTGGAAGTTTGAATAACCAACCAGCTAAACTACTCCAAAATGGAACATGAACACAGTGTAAAACTTCAAAGTTAGAAAAATACTGAATGGCTGCGTCTCAAATGTTCCCTTCAACATCCACATATACCTGGCAAAGGTACATACGGGGGTCTTGCTGTACTCAGACAATATAACTGAGCAACATATGAAGTATTATACAGTCGTAGCACACTTAAGGTTTGCTAAATATACTGTGAAAACTCACTTTGTGTGTCAAAAAGGCAGAAAAATGCTTATTATCACTACACTTGGTACAAGCTAGCAGAAATATTATCCCAAATATGCCTTTTTAAATACCCTGGGATGTCTTCTTTAAGAAATGGTATGCCTTTATGGTGTAGTTGGAATATGTAGCCTGCTCAATTGCTCCTAAGTGGGACACAGACACATCAAAACCCTCCATGAAAATTCACACTTAAAAACCTGAACTTGTCACTTCTCTTTTCCAGCACTCTAACTTCACAAAATAGTGTCTAGGTCATACATTGGACATATTGTTATACTCAGTAGATGTAACTGAGCATAATTTGGGGGGTTTATGACAGTGGTATATATCAAGTGTAAGAAATACTCAGCAAAAATGCAACATAGATGTAGATATGCCATTTTTTTGCCCTCACCACAAACATTGACATAAATTGGTGAAAAAATGTTGACAAGTTAAGGCACAATATACACCATATAAGATACCCTGGGGTGTTTGCTTTATCAAATGAAAGCCCTTTTGTGGGGTTATTTGAACAGTCACACTGCTATAATACCCCAAAATGAGACATAGGCCTGTAAAATCAATCTATGAGAATTCTAACTACAGAAACTGAAATAGCCTTGTTTATTATATGGCATTGTAGCTTCACAGAATAGTGCCAAATGCATACAATGCAAGTATTGTTATACTAAGCAGATCTAGCTGAACACGAAATACACATTACAAAAACCTTGTTTTATGTGTATATGCCAAAGTAGAGAAAAAACACAATTTTACTATTTAGCAGAGATTGGCGATGAAATGGCTATGTAAAAAGTGTCAAACTAACCTTGGGTAAATAGCCTGTGATGTCTACTTTATAAAAATTTATTCTTTTGTGTGGCAAATTTGTTTTCTGTGGTGGCTACTAAACCTACAAGACAAACATACCACCTTCTAAAATTGTTTCACATTAAAATGTTATTTTAGTCCTTGTATTTTGTGACCTGTAACTTTCAAAATAAACTAAAATCCTGTACATATTATGTATTCTATAAATCAAGACACAGAAATGAATTTATTTTGAATTACTTTTTCTAAACTGGACATATTATGCACACGCTACTATTGCCAAAACTGTTATTTTTTTTTATTTCTTTTGCAATTCTTTTTATAATTAATGAGAATTTATCTATGTATATGTGAAATTAAATTAGAGCCCTGTTTGCCCTCTAAAAAATGGTATATAATATGTGTTTGTGCAATTAATGACAGAGATGCAAATAGGGTTTGAACACAAACAGCAAAAATGGCTTGTACCCTTAATGGTTAGACAAACTTTTGAAACCGTGTCCTTAAGAGGTTAAACCCAAACTGAAATAGGGTTGAAAATTGTCTTCTTTTGTCATCAGAACACTGTGATGTGGTCATTTACATTTGTCCATCCATTAGTAGGAATTAATTTGGCATTTATGAAATGTATTTAAATATTTTATGTCAACATGTTTGTTACTGGACTAAGGCAAATGTTACAATTAGAATAAAGGAGACCCTTGAACCAAGGGGATCCTAGTAATAGCTCTGAACACACAGAAAAGCATGTATGTAGTTGCCAGATAATGGTGAAATGGGGAACACTCGTAAGTGGGTAATGTACTAGTAAAGGTAAAAGGGAGTAGACAGAAAGAAACCATATCTACACCTTAGAACCACTGAGAGCTAGCTAGCTAATAATAGATGAGGAATAACTCATCCCCAAAGTGTATAGTGGTGGGTGGAACACGGAAAAAACAGGAGAGAGATAGAGGGCTTAAATTGCTCCTCTCAATACAAAAGACTCCTAGATCTCCAAAGACCCAAACTAAGTAGACAAATGCAAGCTAATACCAAAAAAAAAAGGTTCCCATTCATCTAATAGGCAGGGCGCTTTTTATTTGTATTTACTTTCACTAGGTAGCACTTATTTA